GGAAGGGGTGAAGGGAGGGAAAAAACAAGAACCAAGATATATCATGTAAAAGTACAAGATCCCAATGATAAATGTAACTGTATTGTTGGCTTTAAATGTACCAATAAACTTAATGGTTGGGGGAGAAGACATCTCACTGCCCTGTCTACTCTGACCTAAATTCTTGGCAATCAGCTAGCATTATCTTCCTTCTCACTTGTGGTTTTGGCCTTCAAAACTTGTTTGAAATTGGCAAGACCCTGGGATATATGGGTAAGACTGCTTGCCTCTGTGTTTATAAACCCTCTTTATCACTTAAACAATTTGTGACTCGGTTTTTCTTAAGGGCTGACATCTTCATGGAAATGCCACTTTTTTACTTGGAAGAAGTTATTCTTGAATAGAGAAAATTTGCTTCCCCTCCAGCACAACCAGGCTGCTTTGACCCCAGTGGAGATTCCATTGGATGCTGGATATCTGCCAGGTGGGTATCTTAAGGACTTATTTCCACTTGTAATAGTCATTATCAGGTATAGGGATCTTTGGGGGAAGAGATTTGCTTAAAATCTGGGCTTTGAATGTTCCATGGGTCTTCACCCAAAGTAAACTATATGACAGAGAATAAGCTATGCAACCAGAAAAAGCCTGTTAATTCACCATGAGATAAGATTGAAGAAATAAAGATAGGTAGAAAGGGGACAAGGAAATCATAATTAAAAATGATATTTTTTAAAAGACTACAACTTCTGGGACCCTGGTGAAGTTACCCAAGGTGATCCATGTCTGCATTCCCTTGATTAATTCAGACTCCTTTCAGTCATCACACCCCAAATTCTGCAAGAATTCTGTAAGTCCATAAATTGGCTTAGTTGAGGAAATAAAGAGGAGGAAGCTGATCCTAAGAAAAAGAATAGGTTGAGAGAATTTGAGTCATTTATAGGAAAATGAATGGGCCTTGAGACTGTAATATTGAGTAAAATAAATTGAACACACAAGCTTAAGTAGCACATGGGTTTTCTTGCGTGAGAAACCCAAATCATAAAGAGCAAAATAAAAGATAAGAGGAAGAAGGGAAAACATGTTAAAATTGGCCCATTCCTGTAATGTGGGCCAGTACCTTTATGAGGTGGGGTGGGATGGGCCACCTTTCCTCAGGGTTTCCACTCCTTCATGAGAAACATAAATGATCCAAATTCCAGGAAACAATGTCTTTCTCTCTCTCTCTCTCTCCCCCCCTCGTACTTTTGAATTTCTGCCTAATAAATCCTATATGCCTCTTACAAGTGTCCTAAAAATTATTTTTTCTGTAATGAAAGTCAGTCAACTTGCATATGAAGTTATTCTGCTGGTAGGGCAGGTTTTGGTTCTTTATTTTGGCAGGAAATTTCTCAGACTGTCCAGTGACAACCCCATGTCACAGAATTGTCACATTGTGGAGGAGACCTGGAAGCCTTTGAAAATATCTCTGAAGACTTTTCTTTTTGATTTTTTTGAGACAAGGTCTCACTATGTAGTTGAGACTGACCTAGAACTCATTATGTAGCCCAGGCTGGTCTCAAACTCACAGTGATCCTCCTGCCTCAGCCTCCTGAGTGCTTGGATTACCCGCGTGCACCACCAGGCCTGGCTTCTGAAGACTTTTCTTTTTTTCCTTTTTTTTAAAATTGAGTTTATTGGTACAATCTAGGTATACAATACAGTTACATTCATCATTGGGATTCTGTACCTTTACATAATAGGTCTCGAT